TTATCAGAACAGAGCGGCGGATGAAGTCAGCACCCGGACAGGAAAGCTGTTTCGAAAGACTTGGTATATCATCTGTGCCAGCGCTGGATCCGGCAGCAAGGACCGCGTCATTGAAAGAAACACCCGGAGTCGTTTAACAGATTGCAAATGGTCTTGCCGTATCGACCTGTGTGGTATCGCTTACCAGATTACCGTGCATGGACTGCACAATCACCCCCCAGCAGATAATATATGCCATTATCCCAGTGCTCGTCATGCAACCAAAGAACAGAACGCTTTTGTCATGGATTTAATTAAAGCTCGGACAAGTACCCCATCGATACTAGAGAATCTCGGGGCCAAGTATAATGGAGAGTGCAGACTAATAGCAAGGGACATCATGAATATGCGTCACTAGTATACAAAACCAATACCATTTACATCTTGTTCGGCCAGAAAGTGTGCTTAGTCGCAGGACAGCTCCTCAACTTTTACACATCGCCCTGAAGTTGCAGAAGAAATGATTAGCTACTTGTCAGAGCCTCAATTTGTATGCCGTAGGCGGATCACGGTCCTACCTTATTCCGATGGTTTCGTTTACGTAGGTCCGCGTACATTCATAGGAATGCAATTGCGGCTAGAGGTGACACATTGCATGTAAGGCTCGACTTTATGGGCTCATTCGCCTCCTCTTGAAACGGCGGGGACCCGGGCGGGGTCGTGGTTTTCCTATAAGCTTATTTGTGTTCTTTGAGCTTCTCTTAGCGTAGAACTCGGTGCTATGTACCGCTGCCGTTTTGCCATCTGTCAAGACGAGCACAAATTACGACCGAAAATAACTGATTATATGTCTTTGTGTAGTTGGGGATAGACTTGGGGACAGGGAGTCTTTCAGTTGTGGATGTTTAACTCGTCCTGCGATGCATTTGGTCCACATTGAGGTGTGCAGCATAGCCAGTACATCTGCAGATGCTCGTCTTCCGCTACATCGGCTGTCACTCGAAGACCAGGGTTGAAAAGCTGGTCCAACGTAGCATCACCCCGAGGCGGCTGGCTCCCCCCGTACTTAGCGATTCTTGTACCACCACCCGCATCGTGCCAAACTCTCACTTCTGATTCAACTCTGTGCCTACACTTCGTGTCGAGACTTCGTGTCCAAAGCTCTCCGACTGACAACGCTACGTGCTACAATGAGCAAGTGCTTGCTCCTACTCGTGCTCGCGCTCATGGCGTCTGGCAGTAGTGACGCTCTGTCGGCTCCAGCCGTTGGGAAGCCAGTCGAGTCGATGACACCGACCCTGGATCAAGCCACCCGGTCGGAACATGACGGCGAATGGGACTTTCTCGTGGCTGACTCTTCCAAGCCAACCTTTCGTGAGGAGAGGGGAATCTCGCACTCTTCTGCGAGTATGAAAGAGACCTTCTACAGAATGATGTCTGGATTCAAGAAGTCGTTTCGATTCAGTAACCCGTTTAAGAAGGTGCAGAACGCAAAGCTTGTCAAAGCGTTGAGAAGTCGGATATCCGCCGTGATATCGAGGATCAAGAACATCTTCGGCCGGGCCCCGCGGGTTGCGAAAGCGCATCAGTCTGAACACGGGGTCCCGTTAATTGCGGAAGCGCATCGGTCTGACCACCGGGTCCCGAAAAGGGTGGCATCGCATCAGTCTGACCACCAGGCCCCGCGAATTGCGGAAGCGCATCAGTCTGACCACCGGGTCCCGAAAAGGGCGGCATCGCTTCAGTCTGGCGTCAGGGCCCCGCAAATTGCGGAAGCGCATCAGTCTGACCACCGGGTCCCGTTAATTGCGGAAGCGCATCGGTCTGACCACCGGGTCCCGAAAAGGGTGGCATCGCATCAGTCTGACCACCAGGCCCCGCAAATTGCGGAAGCGCATCAGTCTGACCACCGGGTCCCGAAAAGGGCGGCATCGCTTCAGTCTGGCGTCAGAGAACCCAAAAAGGCGACAGCGAAACAGTTTGACGTGATGGTTGATCGTGCTAAGAGCTTAATTGCAGCTAAAACAGCGACGCATGATGTGCTCTTCAAGAACCACATTGAACCAAAACATTATGAGAGCGCGCTAGGACTACGCCCCCCCCTGGCCTCAGACCCTCCAGCGATGAGACTTGAGCAAATCGATGAACGACTGAAGTACGAAGCGTACAAAGAATTTTATGAAGGTGCGATGATAAGTTGGCAATAAGGTAATTACAAGCTGCCGGCGTCAACGAGTGGCGCGCACTAAGACGTCTCGTTGCATTGATGGTCGCGTGCAAGGTGCAAGTGTACAGCGATTGGTAGGGCGTCCTAGGTTTTACAGGCTCATATAACAACGTGAATCTAGTCACATCAACTATATTATGACAAATTGTTGCCTTGTCATTGCCTTTATCTACTGTTCGTTTAGGAGTGGGTACATTTGCCAGTGCTGTGACAACAGGCTGAAGTTCACGCAAGTAATAGAGAGACGTCCAGTCAACAAGCTTGAAAGGCCATGCAGTTACGGTATGCTCTATGTTGATCCATGTCATTTCTTGTTTCTATACATACACAGTAGCTCTTTTGCACCAATCTAACGAAGCGTTGAGTCGTCACGTGACATGGTCTTGTGTTTGGCCCACCTAAGTGCTTAAGCGACAGACACGTAGGTAAGTGCTAGCTCAATTTTTATGACGAATAACAAATTCCGCCACAACAAGAAGTAGAATCCCGAGCAGCAACTTTGACGACGGTGTTTACGATGAATGTCCGATGCGTGTGACACATTTTGGGCGAACGATGATATTCTGTCCAACGCTCAGCAGCACTGTGCGGTTGTGAAGCGCCGAAACTGCAATCGTCGAACATCGTTCTACTTTAATATATCTTACCTTCAACAACAAAAATAGTCGAACATCGTCGTATCTCGTGCCGTCTTACTCGCGTAATCATGGAGATCCGGGTGTCGTGCATTTGTCGTCCTGTCTCGGTTTTTCGTCTATTGTCAACCGCAAATCGCACAGTTCTTTGTTCAGCTTTATGTACAGAAGCTTGAAAAAGCGGAGTCATATTAGCTAAACACCGCCTTGCATGGTTGCGCGTGCTATCGTCGTGGCTGCACTCAAACGTCCATACCTACTTTGCAATGACGGTCAAGCTATTGATGGACGGCATCAATAGCTTCAGTAGCTTAGTCATAGATCGCAACATTGAATTCAAACCTGCACATAAACAATTTTTGCACCCACCAGTGTAGGCATCACTTTCATCATTCGTCTGTGAGCCACTGTCTTATTCTAAGAAACGTTCATCACTGACGTGAGCCACTGTTGTAGAGTTGACAGGTACGAGTAAAGTTGTCATGCAGCTATGGCCGATTCCATTCATACCGTTGCGTCCTTTCGTGGGCTCATCTGCAGCTCAACGACGATATTACACTTGTCCGTATCTGGGATCCTACGAGCAAGTTCGTGGCATTAAGCAAAGTCATCACTGCCGCAGACATGGATGCAGTAACTACTAAGAAGCGTGAGCCAGTTGCTTGCCTGTGACCAATTTTTTGACATTCTCCGTAGATCGAGCATCTGGGCAAAAAAAGACAAACGTGGCTATTCCGAGCTGGAAACTCGCAACCCCTCTCGACTGTCAAGACAACAGCAGATTACGTGGAGTTCACGCGATCGAGAAGGCTGGCCCCACATAGAGGCTGACCAAGATTGACAATCGAAGGGGGGGTATTGCGGGCATACTTACTAGCGTCGAGTTGCGTCTGCTCGACGTCGTTACTAAGAAAGACTGCACTTCCTTGCTTGGATGCGTCTTCGCGGCAATGTGCAAGAATAATCAAGCGCACCTTTGCGATAGCCTTGACGTCTTTACTCCTTGCATTTGCAATTAGCCATGTTACAATCGCACTTTGAATCGATTCAAGACGTCTACGAAATAAATGTGGTACACGTTCTTCATCGGATACTATTGCGTTGCCACCTTGTATTTGTCCGGGCTCAATGCAACGCCAACGCCGATCTTAAGTGCTCGGGTTGTCACATGACGGATGCTTCCTGTTCGACAGAACCGACAATCGTCGACTCACTTGGTCAACATTTATCACTTCAGTGCTTCACCCCTATGATTCATAACTCACCTGTAAAAGTGTACGCCTTGATCGACAAAGCGACCATCCACTCTTCTCGCATCAACGATAAGCTACCTTTGTTTTACATTCCTACTTCTTCTCTCTTCACCTCTTCTCCGGTCTTCCTCAAACCATCCACTCTTAATCGGCAGAGGCGCTCGGGACTATTCGACGCTGCTACCTTTAAGGACAATGAAAAATCGTGTAAACTCGCACATCTTTCTCGCTGAATCGCACGGCCCTCGAGCTTACAGAACGGCCCTTGCAAGCCAAACCAAGTTGTTGGGTAACATGTGCCTGCAGAGCGGTCGAAATGATCCACGTACTTTGATCTTTCGCGAGCAAAGCAGAAGCACTCGCGCTTCCAAGGCCGGGTACGACGGTACCAGCTCTAGTTGAAGAGCTCGATTTTGAGCAGGACCGAGCACTTTATGAGTAGTCCACACAGCAGCTGCGGCTACTCGTACGTGCACCAGACAAACAAGACCACGTGTCTGCTCTCTTGTTAGTCTCTACTCGAGCGGCTCTTTATTCCATCAGGTCTCGCAGCGAGACGCCGTCCTTGCCAGTAATCACATCTCGTGCGAAAACAGCTTTGGGGCTGCAAAGTTTGGACACAGAGCGCGCCTCGTTCCGCCCATTTAACGCAAGTCCCTCCCACCAGCACATCTTTTCGTCCAGACGGTATCCCGCACCGGATCATGAAAAGGAGCGAACCAGCACAGGTTCGTGGTCTGCATCTTCGCCTTTGAACGCCTTTGACGCCTCGTGCTGTTTGAACCCATGCGGGGGCCGCCTGCTTCTCGATGCTCGTAGACCGCCTACCAACGACCTGCAACTGTCGCCGATTTCGTGGCCGAAAGGGGCGTAAACGTCGCGCTCGGTCTCTCTCGAGACGACGCGATGACGCGTCGCACATTGTACGGCGCGAACCGCGTGACGCCGCCTGTGGACTGCCCGTCGTGGGTCTGCTGTCTGCTGCCGTGTCTCCTGCGCCGCGCGTCGATGCAGCTGTACCAGAAGGCGCTGCCTCGGGAGTCCACCGTGCGTCGCCAAGTGCTGGAAAGCGGTGGACAGCAGAGCACCCGACGGCTGCGGATGGACGCGATGAGTCTCGTGCACGGAGACGTGGTCGAGCTCAAGGCTGGAGACGTCGCGGGGGCAGACCTGCGCGTTGTCGAGTGCTCAGGTGACTGCGTAGTGGACCAGACGACTCTTGTGGGCAAGAGAGAGCGGGCTCCAGACTGTTGGCGAACAAAAGCCGTGACTACGGACCGTCCGCCGTCGTATCTGGAGCGCGATCCACTACGATGTGGCAATATCGTGCCCATGACAGCGACTGTGCTGCGCGGTGCGGCGGTGGCAGTGGTCGTGGCGACTGGAGATGCCACGATATGGGGACAGATGATCGCGCAGCAGACGTGGCCGGTACCCTCAGGAACTGGAAAGAAGGACAAAGACACGGACCGTGTTGAAGAGGAGGAAGAGCAAACCAACTTGATTGTGTAGAGGCGAGCAGCGGCGTCAGGGGGACAATGGCTGGACATACGAGATAGACGTGGGTCTGGTCGCAACCGGGCACTATGGCGCAGCTATAAGGTCCCTTACCCCGCGCTCTACCGACGCCTTCCTGCCGCAACAGGAGCAGGAGCGCCACCAGCAGGCGCGTCTCCGCCATTGCCTCCGAACAAACTCATTACGACAATGGGCAGAATGACGTACCACTGATAGAACGTGCACAACAAAACGTAATGTGAGTGCAGGAGAGTAGCAGACCATGCACACCAATAACTTGCACCTACGTATTTGCGAAGAAACGATTGACTCTGCGGTTCGACTTCAGTGTTGTCGTCCTCGCTGTGCACCGGTTTGACGCCCTGAGGAGCGCGATCGTGCTTGATTACAATCGTCTTGGGAAGGCTGCAGCATCGTGTCGTCAGAACGCCATCAACAAGATCAGAAACCCTCCAACCGTGCGCACATCGATTCCAAACACTTACGAGGGACCGTTCTGCGGTGTCAAGACCGTGCCGGTCGGGTCAAAGCTCACATCCGACAAACTCTGCGTCTGGTAAGCAGCACACGTCTCCGGATTCAAGTAAGGCGTGATATACTCGATCGACAAGAGCTTGCCACTGTCTGACAGGTGGAAAGCAAAGTGTTCGCGCAACTGCGTAGCTGCCAGCATGCACATGGGCACAGACGTCACCGCATAGGGCGACTCTGGGTCGTCCGGATCGGCCTTGGCACGCACAATATAGTGCCGTCCTTGACGCAGCAGCTTCTCGAGCTTTGCCGTGTCGTCGCTGCTCAGCGTCGACAGCGCCGAGAACGAGACGGCGGGCTTCAAAGACGACTTCCTCGATACGATCTCAACGACGCCACGAGACGTAAAGGGCGCGTCGACGTCCACTTGATGCTCTAGTTCAAACCTCACGGTCTGTACCGTCTCGTCCAGCGCTGGAAACACGTGCTCGTGTTCGACCTCGTGGCCGACTCCCTCACTGTATCTTTGGCAATGGGCGTACACACGAAGATCAAACGGCTCATTGTTAGGCATTAGGACAGCTATGGAGACGGAAAGTACACAGGTAAGTAGACGCACTCGTTGCCTTTCACTGCGTAGGGGGCAACAGACGCTGAAGCGGCTAACAACGCCGTAGTGAGCAGCAGCAGCACACGGAGCGGGATCATCTCTTATCGTTGGGCTTTTCCTTCGTGTCGTCTGTCAATTGCTTTGCAATAACTAGTGGTCCACACGACGGGGGCACTCTTCTAAAAAGCGCTTTTTAGCTTCAAAGCCGAGCCCCAATTTTGACAAAAGACGCGCTCTTTCCTCTTCAGTGCACATGGCGCGCGCTGATTGCGAGCGCTACGACAGCGCTCACGTCGACACTTCGTCGTCCTCACGTGTGTTGGACGCTGGATCTGTCGTACGCAAAATCAGTTTCAATGGCGTCGTCATGGACGAGCACGAACTCGAAGGGCTCGAAGAAGAAGAAGACCCAAAACGAATTGGAACCGACCCAAAAGACGCAATAACGGACCCAAACGACGCAGGAACGGACCCAAAAGACGCAGGAACGGACCCAAACGACGCAGGAACGGACTTAAACGACGCAAAAACGGACCCAAAAGACGCAAAAACGGACCCAAAAGACGCAGGAACGGCCCGTAAAGAGGCGCAAAACGAGGAGGTCAAGGCGCAGACGGTGAAGGACACGAACGATCAAGTCCAGATCGTGATCCGTCTTCGACCATTGGACAGTGGTAGTGCTGACACCGAGTCGGAGTGTTTCCGCGTGCTGTCGGACGTGACGCTGCTTGTGCAGCCGCCAAAGACGTCGCAGTCCTATCGCTCCACTGGCACCGCCACGAGTTTCCATTTTTCGCGTATTTTTCAGTCGGAGACGCAGCAAACGGAGCTCTTTGAAGCCACGACGAGACCTGTGCTGGAAGCAGCTTTTGAAGGCAAGAGCGGCCTCGTGTTCGCCTATGGGGTCACGAACTCTGGTAAGACGTACACAATTAGCGGCTCTGCAGAAGCTCCAGGAGTTCTGCCGCAATCTCTCGAATTTGTGATGCAAAAACTGTCAAATTGTAGAAACTCTACCGCGCAGCCAGTAAAAAAAGTGACAGTCACGTACCTGGAGATCTACAATGAAAACGTATACGATTTGCTGACGCCCGCTCGTCAAAAGCGGAGAGCGCTTCGTGTGCAGGACTGCGAGGGAAAGACCCAGGTTCGAGGAGCTGTTGAGAAGCGGATTGAGACGCTGGAAGAGGGAATGAATATGCTGGAGATGGGTCGACGGCACAAACAGATGGCCGAGACGAATTGCAACTCAGATTCGAGTCGAAGTCACTGCGTTTTTACACTGCATTTCTACTATCACACCATGCGTTCTGCGTCGAATCTGCTCAGCAAAGTGTCGATCGTTGACCTGGCGGGTTCCGAGCGCGGGTCTAAAAGCGGCGCAAGTGGACGCCGCATGCAAGAGGCTAGTAAGATCAACGGATCGCTGATGAATCTTATGCGCTGTCTCGAGACGTTGCGTTGGAACAGGCAACACCCGCCGAGCTTGCAGAAGATGGTCCCGTTTCGCGAATCTAAGCTCGCACGTCTTTTTCAAGAGAGCCTCGTAGGAAGTGATCAAGGCCCACTGGTGATGATCGTAGCTGTGAATCCATCTTGTCACGAGTTTGATGAGACTTTGCGCACGCTGAAATACAGTGCCGTTGCGCGCGAGTTAGTGAGGACACGCACGTCTTTACCGAGAAAGGCTGCTCCTGCTACGACTTTCTACGATCTCGACGGGCGACTGAAAAAGAGAAGACGACAGTTGGCTGAGAAAGCTACACTTCAAGCATCGGACTTGACCGGGGAACGATTCGTCATCGAGGCAACGACAGGTGTTACTTCGTCACCGGTGAAAGCCAGAATCGAGCATCGGAAAAGTGACTCTGGACTGCGTCAACGTAGACCGGTCAAATGTAATGATGTTATGCCGAAAACAGTGGACGTGGGGACGTCTCCGATCGAGTCACGAAAGGAGGTCATGCAAGGAGACTTGTATACGGTATCTATCGATGTGTCAGTGATTTGGTGAGTGATGACATTGTGTTTGGAACTACTAAGTCTTTGTTTGCAAAATTCGGACACTTAGGCTAACCTCGAGATGGAAAATGAAGAGCTTCGAGGACAGTTGGCGCAAGTTCGAGCTGGAGAGATGGAGATGGAAGTCCGTATACGAGCAGAGGTCGTGGACGAGATGCGCGAGCAATTGCAGCAGATTCGCGCCCAATATCAAATCGCGCAGACTCAACAGCGCGATAATCTTCCATCTGCACGAAAAAGACGCGAGCGGCAACATGCTGAAGAATGCGAAAGACTTCGGTCACACGTGCAGGAGCTGCGCGAAAAGGTGCGGGAATGCGAGGACGAGATTCAGCGCATCCACAAGCGCCATCAAGCAGAACTCGACAAATTGCAGCCAACTTTTGTACCAATACCAGTAGAAGACGAGAACTTGTGATTTTTACAATAAAATGTGATAAAATTGATAGTTGAACACCGCATTTCTTCATCAACTTCAACTTTTGTATCTCGGCCGCTTTTGTGCGTTTAACCACGAGCGATATGGTGATAAAAGCCGCACCAACGTGCATACCAGATGTGGCTTTCGATCAATATGTTCGTATGTCGTGTGCGGGATGTAGAAACAGATCGACGGCTTCATAATGGTTGTCCAGGTGCTTGCTATCATCAAAGAAAGTGGACAGCACGAGCAGCAGCAGCCAAAGGTAGGACTCGATGCTGCTGACCACGTCTGCCTTGTGTCTATAGCAGCAGTTTATCTTGAAGTGCTTCTGCGTTGCAACTGGTCCTAGAAATGTTCGGAGTGTTGAAAAAAGGGATGACGTTACGGGTTCACGTTTGTGTCAGGGTGTTGGTGCCATGCGCCGTTACGAATCGAATTGCTAGCGGGCAAATTTCTCGTGCATGTTGTGTACAAACAAGAGTAAAATGGGCAGATCTCTAGGTCTCGACGTTGATGTCGTCCAGCTTCCGGCCCTCACCACTACTTTGTACCTGGGCTATAATGAGCCGGCAATGCGGCGTTACCATGCGAATAAACGAAAGGTCATACAATATTTTATCTCCTACACTCCTTACTCGTGTCAGCGCGACGTGGCGGACTGAAAGTGTATCGAGTGACTTGCGTGATAGGTCGATAGCTATGTACACGAAAATGGTGGATACGACATCAACGTCGCCCAATTAATACCAATTCTGATGCCAACCAACGCCAGTTCGAATAGGCCTGGCGCTGGTTGGCATCAGAATTGGTCGAAATTCTAGCTTTGATCATTGTGGTAAACTCATCTTCGCAATACGATGGCACCTTTTCAAAACCAGCTCACGACGAATTGACTCTTATCCACGACAACTTCATCACTTACACGTAATGCTACGTCCTGATCTCAAGCTAAGCGGTCCACGTACGTAGCTTTTCGATATTGCCAAGTCGTGTAAGTGATCGCACAAGCATGTCAGCAATAACTTTGCCAAGTAATCACGTGCCCTGAATGCGACTCGAACACTTGTCTAAGCCGAGTCCACGGTACAAGTTACAGAATCGGCAACAAGTACGAGCATATGCCTTTGACGCGGCGAAATCCCAATTCGCAGTATCGTTCGTACTTCAAGCTTATGCAACAATGACCCTCTTTCTATAGCAAAACTAATCGGAGACAATTGACGTCTCAGACGCGAAACTACATGTAGTGCACACGTCAGATGCAAAAAGGGTCGTTAAGACTGACACGAACGCATTGACTAACCAGAACGAGGAGTTCGATTCTATTGGCGCGGCTGTCGGAGAAAGAATAATGGGAGAGCAGAACGGTGGACTGGTGGTACTTTCGGATCTGTCTGAAGTTGCTAGCGATACGAAGAAGCTTGTCGCGCGACAAACTGACGCGGCTTAGTAAACCGACTCGCACAAAAGTCGCAAAAGAAGTCGATGTCGTTTCGATCATGAGAATGGTCGCTGACCCACAAAGGTAACACGTATACACGGGTCACAAGCTCTCAAATGTATGGATTGTCACAGGAATCATCTAAGGGTCGGAAGGCGTCAGCCGATAATTGCAATACACTTTGGTGCCGTACTTTGCAGTCTCGCTCGAATGAAACGCATCCTCCCGTTAAGTCGTGTGCTAGGCGCAATCAGAGTGCCGCCGATTGCGCCTATCGGCATAGCAGTGTGTATCAAGACGCAGACTTTGAGCACACATCAAACTACTCAGCTTACGTTGTTAACGAAAGGATCTGTCCCGCCTCAGCGCTGCAAGTATAATTTACTGATGATCAAATGCGAGGCCTAAGAAGATACGATCGGATCAGAGCCGGGACTCGTGTTACAAAGTAAGATGTTCTTTTGCCAGCACATAGGCGCATTGCTCAGTCGAGAGCTTGAAAGCAAATGCTACTTGTCGTGACTATATTTTGCTATGTTGCAGCACAAGTTTGTTCCAAGATACGGCTTTACTCGACGAAGTTGTTCAGTTCAAGGCGAGCACCGTTCGAAACAGCTATGAGGCCGCGTATGAATTTGCATCAATACTTCGGTAACAGTAAAAAACAACTCGGCTATTCCCAAGTGCAGTGATGTGTTTGCTGGAGTACGTACGCACTGCTGTTAGCCACTTGTTTTCGATAGTTTGCAGTCTCGGTGACGAGCAAAGCCGACCCTTTCATGCAACAGTACTGATTCTAAGCCTTCACCGTTTACCGGCGAATATAGTCATGTAGAATGTAATCAGCAAATTGGGGGTAGACCGGATAAAACGTCAACGGACGAGAAAGAAACGCTGATGACCTACCTCAACGCCGTTCCCACTGTAAACATTGCAGCAGTTGTAGGTAATGGAGTAGTCGAGGCTCCATATCGAGCAGTCATGCAGTCGGCACCATTTATGTACTTTTGCGGGGTAGGCGACTTTCATGCTGTAAGCAAATCGGGCCGAGACATCAAATACAGTTTTCCGCTTGACTCTTGACAAGTACGAGCACATTTGCATAAACGCTTTTAACACTCTTTAGATGCACCTTTGCTGAACAATATGCCGGCGTCATGCAAGCACCACCTTCATTGTGAAATGCAATCATAAGATATCGTGACGATGCATCTTTGCCAGTCGCCCTTCCAGTACATTCGACAAAAAGATGACCTGACGCCGAGCAAACACAAACTCATGCGTGCAGAGTCGCCGCGCAGCGATACAGTCACCGGTGAAAGTATAAACAGTCCGCATGACGCAGCATGTACGAGAGCAGTGAGTCAACCACGAGGCGGGTAACAGTATCAGATCGCTCGAGGGCTTAAATTGCTGCAACGCAAAAACGCGGAGCTACGGCTATGCACGCAAAGTACTAATGGACATCGTGCTGCCAGCACGAACCGACGAATTCTTGACGTCAAGAGAGACCCAGAAGCCGAAGCCCTTTCTTGCTCTAGCCAAATTCTGCTTTCGTATAGATAGAGGACCATACTTACAATCGTGTAATGTCGAAAAACCATCGGCTGCCTGAACAGAAAGAAAAACTGGCGCAACGGCAGCTAGCTAGCGCGGTCTTGATCTTCTGCCGCCGCCGTAAGCATCGTAACCCCCGTGTCTCGTATCGACATGCGAGCGTCGGTCATATGTGTTGTTGTCAAACACACCACCAGGCTCATATTTCCGATTGTCTCGGCGCTCCATGTACCGGTCGCTATGGGTATCGTAATCAGGCACACGATAAGCAAGTAAAGTCCGAGGTCGCGAACGCGAACGCGATCTAGATCTCCGCGTACCCATGAAAGAATCAGTCCGCTGCTGATCAAAACGATGTTCAATGGGCGATCCTCGTGACCGATTTTGTGAGTAATTTGAATGCTCGTTTCGCCTCTCGCTTGATTCAGTGTTGCTTGGATCCGGTTGCCTCCGTCCAAGTGGAGAAGGAGCGCGATATCGCCTGCATCGGCTATCATCCCCTCCTGCATTTCTTGTAAAATGAGTTTCGGCAGTATATCGATTTGCTTCGCCCTCGTGCCCTGTGTCTCTTCTCTTTTCGCCCTCTCTCCTGTCAGCACCGTAGCTTGAAGATAGACGAGGAGAATAGCGTGATATTCGAGCTCGCTTCAACACTGGCGTATCGGCGTCGTTGCAAATTGCGCTTGTGATGATCACATTGCCGCTCCCATTTCGTTCGCGAATGTCAGGCGCCAAATGCGGTACTTTAAATCCTCCAGTGTTTCCTCGGCCGACTTTTTGATCGGGGGCGAAAGCATCATCTTGACGGTAGTATGACTTGGATTTCGAGCGGGATCGAGATCTATACCCAGTCGTCGCGCGTGAACGGTTTCTCCCGCCATCGATAAAGTCGTATTGCCGCTCTTTTCCGCACCAAGGACCTATAGGCGGCGGCGCATTGCGATCTATTTTCGACAATCTATCATCACCCTTCGACGCTATTCGGCGCTCTCGTTGCCGTGGCGGAGTGATCGCGCCACCATTCTGCGACAGTAGAGGCGAAGATTCTGGCTTACTTCGCTCGCTGGAGAGCGAGCGGCAAGGGCTAACATGAAGCTTCGGCCTAGCTGCCTGGCAGGAGCTTTCTTCTTTAAGCACCGCGCCGGCTTTAAGCTTCAGTCGAAGCTCCAGCAAATGTCCAATATCGTCATGAAAAATTTGTGACGCTCGCTCGCCGTCTTCACGATTGTAATAGTGCAAATACACTGAGCCCAGCTGATTCTTCATCATTTTTAGCCAATTGTCACGGGATATTTCGCAGCGTGGTACGGACTTGCCGAGCGTGTACCGCTTGCTCAATGAAACCGCAAAGTCTTCTCGATCACGGTCTTGATTAAAACGGATCCCCGTAGACTTGCGTTCGAAACGCGCATTCCGGACGACCAAAGTGATCTGGCCGCGCAGATTCTGCGGCACAAACGCCGTGCCGTACATTTTTTGCTGATAAAATTCTCTATCTTCAGGCCGACCGAACCGCAACTCCTCGTAGCAGCTTACATTTCGAGTTCCCGATTCACCACTACCACATTTAACCGCTGCTGCACTTGTCTTATCAGCGGCTATTGGCGGCGCGAGCGACACACCAAAGAATGACGCTGTGTACAATTTTCGGCTTGAGGTCATTTCACCACTCGTGGCGCAACTATAGCGGGAGATCAAGTCAGGTAGCACTTTTCCATCGACGTCGTAGACTTCGTATCCCATCATCCGAGTTTGTAGCTCTTTACTGCTGCGTAAGTCAGTAGCCCCGAGTGCAAGCTCTCCCACCGCCATATATATGGAATTGCGACTTCTGGACAACCGCAATAAGGCCCGATCTTGCGAACAGCTCGAAGCAGCACCAATCGGCACCGGGTTCTTGGATCGCTTCGCTGATGGGTGAACAACGTCCACTGCCGAAAACTTTGAACATCTGTCTACACATGACAAAGATGGGACGGCAGTATGCTTGGACGGAATTACCGAGCGTGTGTCAGTCATTCCTCTAGCTCTGATATCCCTTGCTCGATTCACGGGAAGAATAACTGTCTCGTCAGCTGAACAGCTGTTCCCCGAAGACCGCTTTGGGATGATAAATGAACCAGCGTACGAGACCGCGCTTACCCTTTCCTTCTTCGTCTCCTCGCAAACAGTTGGCTTCGTATGAAGTGCCATGGTTCTACAATTCTTCTCATCGCCATGCTTCCCAGAGCCGTCCTCATTTTTCGGCAAACTTTCTGCGCTCGGCGTAATTACGGATGACTCCAGGTTCTGTTTGTTATTTGCTTCGTTGCTCCCTCGCTCAGGTGCAGCCAGCGCGGCAGGTTCAGGCTGTTTATCCATTTTGTCTTTAGAGTGAGGTCGCGATGGATCATGTGGAACGCTTTCCGCGACGACGCTTTTCGGCCCTGCGTCCGCTTCCCCCGATGTGTTAAGCGTTGCGATTGTACCTGCTCCCTCTGCCGGCATACAAGCTTCAGGTTCTTTCAATTCACGGGATACGCTGAATAAATTCCCTAATCTCTCAGGCTGAACGCAGCCATCAATCTTTTCACCAACGGCTGCCGGAAAACATCCGTTGTCCTCATCCATTTGATCTGGATTGACACTCTTCAGTACACTATCTTGCGTGCCGTCGTTGTTCACAGGAACAGAAGTGAAGTCAACTGTAGATCCAAGATCCGTAGTGACTGTATCTCGACCATCGCATTTGACCAAGCCAGAAGCATCGTCGCTCACAGCAACATCAGGGGAGGTCGCGCCTTTACATGTCTTCTCAGCCATCTTTGCTCCAGTGTTCTTCAGTAATTTGCACTTTTCAGCGCGCTCTTCGACAAACGAAATCCCATCAGTCATCGGCTGAGGTGACAACCGTATCCGGTAGTCTCTTTTACCCTTGACGTCAGCCTCAGAGCAGATGAGACCCTGCGCTTTCTTTTGAAACAATCGATCGGCTACATCACAAGTCTTCTCCTTCTTTCTACGTACTTCGTACGGCTTCTCTCGTCTCGATTTAGATATGGCCATGTCGTCGCTCCTTCCAGCACTTGACCGACGATCGTGAAGCTTCTGCGTACGCTGCTCTTCCACTGCTCTGGACCTGTCATGCTTAATAGACAATTTTTTCAGCTTATTCCTCGGGGAAACCTCTTTCACGGCTTCTGTCCGTCGTTTGCGTCGCATGAAACTGCTCGTCTCGTCATTTTTCTTCTTCAGCAATCGCTTTTTCGTGTGCCTGTCAGCGTCACTGTCGTTAGATGACGCACCGTCGCTGTCCTCTCGAGTCGGCACTTGGCGCTTCGTCTTGGCGCGTTTGTAGCTCTTCCCCTCCGTTTCTAGCATCGTCTTCTTCTTCGTCGTCGTCTTCTGCTTCGTGGGCCTCACCGCGAGCTTCGGCGTCGGCTCTGTCATCGGCAGCGACGAGTCCGACGAGTCGTCGTCATCCAGGTCCCCCTGCAGACGTTTGAGCCAGGGCAGTCGCTTCTTGAACGACGCGGCGTCGGGTGTCTCTGCAGCCATTTCGGACCAGGTGCAAATTGATTTTTATATTGCGACAGCGATTTGACAAAAAAATAGTTTTCAGTATACACCTCAGGTATACTTGGTTTATGGTCGGCTCTTTTACGACGAGTAATCGGTAGACCAGCAGCGGTTGTTGTAGCAACGATTACGTTATTTTGCAATGAATTGACTGTCAGATGACGAGTTATTTACAATGGCGTTTATATATTACCGCGTGCATTTGCAGTGGATGCCGAGGCATTGAGCCTCTCAATATAAACGGCAAACACGTCACGGACACATTAGACCTCTATTACTACCTTGTTGTTCTTGTAACGAATGCGTGCAATTCGAGGAGCATATCGTCAAACCCGGCGAGAAATTTGTTTCCTCGTTTGCTATCCAGACAGCGGACGGTGTCAACCTGCTCCGGTGAGCTGCATTATTTAAGTCAACGCTTTGGCTCGTATGACATCTTGGGGATGCAGGATAGAGTGGAGGAAGTGAGTGTGCTACGCATGGGAGAGATTTCAACAAAAAGGGCATACTTGAGCTCAGGTTCGTGTGAGGCATACGTTCATCTGTGCGAATTAGTAAATGAGGTTAACCGGTGCATCGGGCGGTTCATCGGCCACTCGCGTCTCGCAAATGAAAAGGAGCTTTGACCTGCGGTAAGCATTCAGTGCACTCAATTTAGCCGGTCGAATTCTGAGCCAACTTGCATATTGACTGGCACTGCAATATATGTTTATGTCAAAGCGAAGTAGACCAGAGTGCTTTCCTTGAACATTATAATTATTGCCTCGTGCTGTCGTCAGCTGAGTCGAGAGCATCGGCTGTTACAATGACTGTTGCCGACGGACGACATTCTGGCATGTCCTCGCATCTGTCGAGGCACTCGCCGTGCATTTTACTGCGAGCTATGTTTGTTCGGTGCATGTTTTGTAAAGGTATTATTTCGTGATCCAAGAGGGCGAAGCTAGAAGTAATTGTGCGCTAAGTAGTTACCAAACGTTACGCCAGCTACTTTCTGTGTGTGTTTGCCTGCAAATCGCGCATGTGCACTGCACGCGTCCTATTACGTGCAATATTGTCGGGGCCCTATTTGTAGGTACATGTAACGGGGCAGCCCGTTACATAATATTGTCACTTAAGGAAAGTGACAATAAAGAATATAAAGATGGATATTCTTTAAACAATATCACCGAAGCGGTGATATTGAAGGGTCGACCAGAAGGGTCTGTTCATTGGTTGATATCGTGATGATATCAACCCACCAATCGCCGCAAGACGCGCGCAATGAGTGGTGACGAGACGTCACCATACATGCAGTTATATTAGTATAATTGAATTAAGTCAAACGAAGAGACAGTAGTTTAAAGACTTAATTTATTAATATAACAGTTCTACTTTTACCCTACCTACGCTTCCTCGCTCGCCACGTGTACGTCCGTCGGGGCACCCAAATCCCTTGCGTTAAGTTACGCAAGGGTGTGCCCCGTTACACCTGGTAGCACTTAGTAGTCCTTCCAAGGACCACATCATCCAACATGAACATGTTGGATGAAGAAGACACCTTTCACGCCACGCGTGAAGGGTTTACCCATTTGAGTGACATCGAATGGGGTGCGGTAGAACGAATGAGTTCTACCGTAGGCGAACTCGTCGTCAGCACCATGTTGGAGTCTCTAGACAGAGACCAACAACATGCTGCTATCGCCAAGTTCATTCACAATGAACTTGCTCTCGAGAGGGAGAAAGTAGCCTTGCTTCACCAGCAAGGCTCTCAACAGGCCGAGCAGTTGAGAGAACTCGGTGCTCAACAGACGGAGCTGTTGAGACAGCAGCAATTCCATGCTGCTGTGGGCGGGACGGCGCATGCGCGTCGTCCCGAAGTGATGAAAGTCGACATCTCCAAGTACAGTGGAGTCCCGGAGGACTCCCTGTTACTATGGTTTGTCGAACTCGACAGAGCCCTAAGGGCTCGTCGCGTCGAAGATGAGCAAATGAAACTCACATTTGCTCAGACCCACTTGGCAGGGCGTGCCAAAACTTGGTCCCTGGGACTCGAGAGTAGCGACCCAAATGTGTTTAGGTCGCTAGATGACTTCAAGTCCCGGCTCAGACAAACGTTTGAGCCGCCACGTGCTGAGTTCAGGGCTCGTTCAGAGCTCCTGAAACTCAAGCAGGGTAAGCGTGATGTGCACGCTTACGCACAACATATACGACTCCTTGCGAGTAGTATAACTGCAAACCCAGTTCATGAACACACGTTGATTACGGTGTTCATGCAAGGGCTCGCAGAAGGGCCCGTCAGGAGCCACCTGTTCCGCCTTGAGCTGAATACGCTTGAAGAAGCGATATCAGCCGCGGAACAGGAAGACTTTAGCATGAGACAGGCTCATGCTAGCTCAAACTCTTACCGTCCACCGAGACGACAAGAGATCGGAGGTCCAGAACCAATGGACCTCTGTTATGTTGAGAGCGAGAGACCTCGCTCTACAAGCAACAAGCGATTGCAGAGGTGCAATCGCTGTCAGAAGTTAGGGCACTACGCATACGAGTGTAGTGCTCCGCGCCCAGTACCAAACAGTACTGAGCGAAATGGACGACCATTCGCCAGAAAGGGCAATGGGCGTGGGTCCAGCGCTGTTGCGAAGCCGCAACAGCGAGACGGGCCATCAAAAAATGGTCGGGGTCAGTAGGGGCGGAGCGCCCTACTGATCCAGCAACCTCAAGAGAATTTGCAAACCTCTTGACGAAAGTTGCTCCAGATACACAATCATTGTGTGTCTCTGCACCTGGTGATGATGTTTCGCTCATCACCTTGAAGTTGGAAGCGACAAATGACTTGTCGCTTCGTGCCCTAGTAGACTGTGGGGCGTCGAACAACTTTGTTCGTCGCCAGTCACTAGAGGGTCGTAGGCTCAAGTTCGTTGAGCGCGACATTCCCCTCACAAGGATGACGGTGCGCCTTGCAACAGGCGCATCGATAACCGTTGAGAAACGTGTAGTAGGAATCCACTACACGTTAGAGGGCGAGCAGTACGATGATGATTTCATCGTACTAGATCTGGATGACAAATTTGATGTCATCCTGGGATTACCTTGGCTCAGAAAATACAAGCCAAGGGTGAGCTGGCAGCATCGATCCGTGAAGATGCCTGCTGCTTGTTCATCAGATGGCCATCTGATGAACATCTTGGAGCGTCCACAAGCGTGTGGATGTTCTGCGAGTGAGTGCGATGGCCTCACTTGCGGTACGGTCGTTAGCACGACTGCACAAGATCACAGTGTAGTTGATCACTACACTGTGGAGCAAGCTCCCGGCGGCTGTACAGAAGTACAGGCTGCGCCGAAGGTCCACCACTCGAATAAGTCGAGTGGACCGGGACATGGATGCATGCCTAGCGGGCAGCATCTTAGAAGAAATAAATCTGTTGCCCCCAAGGGGCAACATGAAAATCCTAGGTCGACTGGAGAGTCGACCGTAGAGGATCGGTTCCTGACTGTGGTTGCACAGCCACAGTCGGAAGACGTCGAGGGAATAAGTCCCCACGTACTTGAGGAAGGAGTTCCTCAAGAGTTGCTTGCTGAGGGATCAGGCCCTCAGCAACCTGTGGAAGCAAGATCCCAGGAAGAAACCGAGACGTTGAACGTCTTGGTTAATGACGGATCAAGCGTAGGCGCTTATACGCTTGATCTGATTGTGCCTCCGAAGTTGACTTCGGAGATAACTCAGTTGCCAACGCTAGAACCGAAACGGTTCTTGCGTGATCTGCGTAGTGGCAAAGTCAAGCAGATCTGCGTACTCGTCACAGAGGACGAGTATGTGACCGACATTCGGTCGGCAACAGTATTTGCTGAGAACGAACGGGTTCTCAGCAGCTCATCGATGGACGAAAGTGTCCTCGATGAGAAGACTCGGATTGAGCGATACGCGTCCCAATCCTGGGAGTCACTTCAGGCAAATCCTTTGTATAAGGATTTGATCGAATTCAGGGATGTGTTCCCTGAATCCGTACCTTGCGAGTTGCCTAAGGACAAAGGCACTCGACACGAGATCGAGCTCAAACCGGGCTCGAAGTACTGTGTCATGAAGCAGTGGCCACTGCCTCGTGAACAAGTACTAGCGATCGACAAGTTCTTTGCCGATCGCTTAGCAGCGGGCCATGTGAGGGAATCAACATCCCCTCACAGCTCTCCGACCTTCTGTGTGCGAAAGGCCACAGGAGGGTGGCGGATAGTGCACGCATTCAACAAGTTGAATGCTGCAACGGTACCGGCTCAGACGCCGATACCGAGGAAGGACGTAATCATAGATGGTATGTCAAAGAGTACCATCTTTTCGTCCATGGATCTGATGGATGGATTCTATCAGATCCTGATGCGTGAACGGGACGTCCCGTTCACAGCAGTGAGTACCCCCAGCGGGATGCTGTGGGAGTGGCTAGTGATGCCACAGGGGCTGAGTAATGCCCCTGCAACATTCAACAGATGTGTAACAAATCTGTTGAGACCGGTGCGGGACTTCGCACCGAGTTACTTCGACGATGTGTTCGTCCATAGCCGGGCTATGGACGGGAAGACGGACGTTGAAGTTCACAGAACTCACGTTCGTCAGGTTCTTCAACTTATGCGCAAGCATAAGTTGTACGCCAACCTCAAGAAGTGTATATTCGCGGCTAGCGAAATACCACTTCTTGGGTGCATCGTGGGGAAACACGGCGTACGCCCTGATCCCGAAAAGATCAAGGCGATCACCGACTGGCCAGTGCCAGTCGATGTCAAGGGACTTCGAAAGTTCCTTGGTCTTGCGGCGTACTTGCACAAGTACTCGCGCAACTACGCCGAGATGACGGTACATCTTTCTTGCTTGCTCAAGAAAAATGTCAAGTGGTCATGGAACGCTGAGTGCCAGCGTTCCTTTGAAGGTATCAAGCAAAGCTTGATGCAATCGCCGATCTTGGCGATTTCAGATCAGGACAGACCATTTCATGTGGTCTGTGACGCCAGCG